CTAAAATCAGAAACACACTTTTACCTTTCATCAAACAAGTCATTTAGCCTTTCCCAGTTTTCTATAATTTCTGATTGTTTGGCCTGGATGGCGCGTACCATGTGAGCCTGGGACCTAGCTAATCGCCGAGCCTCGCTTTCGAGCGCTTCCATTTGGCTTTCGATAACGGTCAAGTCTCGTTCCAGGTCATCGTGCTTCCTCAGGAGTGCTTCGACACCAGGCAGATCACGTCCAAAGTCGTCACTTGAAAGTATTACCGCCTGAAAAACAAGGGAGCTGTAGTTAATTTATTTTGGCCGCGTACAAAATTACCTTTAAATTGAAAGAAACCTGAAAATAATAGTTTGCTAAGATAGACAAACACTAAAGAGATAATAATAAACCATAAAGAAACAAGGATGGTTAAGGATGGAGAAGATTAACACGGATTACAACTGACGAACTTGAAAAATTTAGGCTAAACTTTTTAAGATGCGCAAACCGTGACGTAACTCCTTTAACTTCAGCAGCCAAAGAGATCCACTATGTTTACGAAACTTTCCACCTAACCTCGCAATTTTCCTAAATTTCTGTTTCCAATTTTTTTTTTGATCACTTCGTAATGGACGGGATACCTTTTCACTGATCAAATCAGAAACGTCTTTACAATCCTGGTCAAAAGCGTGCATCTCGCACGCCTCAGCTAACTGCTGTCGCCTCTCACTAGCTCGGTCCTGCAGCCGATTCCAGCGCTCGTTCAGCGCCTGCTGGCGATTGGTGATATCCGCTGATCCAGCGTGACCCTGCGACACGAGTTTCTCTGCCAGTTTGTTGATGGTCTCTACTCTGGCAGCCTCTACTGCTAGGTCTTGATCAAACTCTTTCATTTTCTTCTGCAAGCGCTGACAATGCTCAAAGTCTCGTCCAGTGTCTTCCGAAGAGACCACGGCCTCCTACAAAACGAAAAAAACAAACATCAAACAACGATACGATAGCAGGGTAAGGATGTCCCAAAACATATTCATCCACAGACTTCATACAGGATATTAGGGAGTTTAAGTAACGACGATGGACACGCTGAGGACAACGTCGACTTAAGATGAATTTATATTTGACCTACGAATCTCCCGATACTCCAAAGTCATTTTTATTTGTTTATCACTGTCAAAACTATCACGATACTGAATCTGGAACACAGCCATAAATTTGAAATAGAAACATAAAAAACACTAGCCGTCGTCGTTCACGTTCTCCAGACAACGTAGAATTTGATCATTTCACGTTGTTGTTTTGCAGAGGACGGTAAAGAATTATAACGCACGTAAAAAGCCATTGTTCCTCTCATCAAACTTTTTGCTTACCCGACGTTGCCGTTGCCGTTGCCATCTTGGTTTTCTTAAACTCCCTCGTTATCATTCTGGTACCTTCCTGTATATGTACGTACCTTTTCGCTGATACACGAATCTGCTATATCCACCTCTTGGTTAAACTTTTGATGGTCTCTAGCCTCTTCTAATCTCTTGCCCTTATTAGCAGATGCCTCCAGAAGTTCTTCCCAGTGAAGATATAGAGCCTCGATACGGCGTTCCACTTCATCAGCCGCAAAATGCCCAGATGTAATAAGCTCTTCACCAGTCTCCCGCGCGGCATCTATAGCTTGCTCGTGGGCAGTGAGCTCGGCTTCAAACGCTTTGTTTTTCTGAAGCTTGCTCTCCAAGTTCGCTGGGTCCTTGTAGCTATCATCGCTTGCAGTTTGGAGCTTTTCTGTAATCCAAGATTCCGACTGGGAACAGGAAAGAATATGCCAGGAAATTATGCGGGAAAAAGTCAGTTTGATAAGATTGCAGAGCGTGATAAAGCAGCTTGAGATCTGTCAGTGGGACAAACGTGACTGACTAGGCCATCTACGTTATTCCGACTTTTGATAATTTTTTCTGTATTGAATAACTTAGTGCGTCAAAGTTCTATTAATACCCCGGTTACTTTGGAAGAACTTTCTCAGAAAAGTGGGGGAGGTGGGTCTCATTAGTAAGGAGACCTTATTTAGGAGAGGAACTTTGTTCAAAACACATCAGCTAACGTGGATAACAGTAGATGAGAGTCTGTTTAGGCATATTTCTGTCTTATATAACATCATTTCTCAAACTCATTAATAATTCATCAAGTAAAAAAAAATAATAAAAATAAAAAAAGATAAAATAATTCATCAAGTTTAAACAAAGGAAATCATGACCGTGACGGAGTTTGGATTTCTGATCTTAATTAGCACAGATTTTTTTCGATTTTATTTCTCCGTTTTCTCCTTAGTTTTAGTTTCGATTGAGAAGGTATATCAAGACAGTCAAGACAGTATTTGACCACATTTCCAAACACCTCGAAGTTCGTCAAAAATACTCCGCTGCGACTCCTATTTTCAACTCTCTTCTCGGTGTTTCGAAATGTGGTCAAACAAAGTCTTCCGTGTTTGATATAGGGGATTATAAGGATAAGGTAACGGAGCTTTCCATAGCTTTTTGTCCTTTTTTGTATCTTTTCCATTTTATTACCTCGATCACACCTTGGTAAAACTGTGCGATCTTCTTGGATTCCTCCAGTTTGTGTCTTCTCTTTTGTAACTCCTCATTCAGCTTGTTTCTTCGCTCGCACACGGCATGAACCCTTTCCTTTATCTTCTCTGCTTCGTTATGGCCATTTGCTACCAGCGTTTTACCAAATTCGCACAGGTTCGCCACCTTCTCGTCTTGTGAGGCTATCAGCTTCTCTGTGTTCTCGTGTTTCTTGAGCAAAGAATCAACTTCGTCCACGCTATTACCGAGTTCTGCTCCGGCGAGCACAACCTGCAGACGAGAACACGCGTTACAGCCTAATGAATGTGTTACAGCGTGTGAAAAGTGAACGCGTGACATACAGGGTAGCTGGATTGACATGTGAATCTGTAAGAGGGTAAATACCCTATGTCGAAAAGAAGAAAAATCCTTTTTCCTCTACTCGCCACTAAATAATCTGTTTGAGATGAACTGAAAAAGTCATTACGATGTAAATTAATCGCTACAGTTAATTAATCAATCTTACTAATTACAATTATACCGCCATATTTTTGTGGCCCGTTAGTGACCGGATTAACGGGGTACCACCGTAATTATATAGCAAATGGCAAAGGGCCCTCTGAACGCGTTACGCGTTGCAGAATTACTTTGAATTTCTGTCTCGATTTTGATTCTTCTAAATGTACAAAATCCGGCCCTATCCCCCACTCGGGGGCAAGGAACTAAGCAAATTTATAAAAAAAACTGAACAACTCGCCAATGACGTATAAATGAAGATATCAAAAAAGCTTAAAACGATCTGAACGGAACACAATACATCCAACACAAAGGAAAACTTCACAGGGTTTTACACCGAAGTAAACCCTTCGATTATGATACTTGATTCTTGTTATGCCTAATACGGCCACTATTTCACTGCCAGCGGTAAGCCCCTCAAAAACGAAAATGAAAACGTGCGATTTTACCTCTTGTGTGCTTGTTAAGGTATCAATCTGTTTGGCATCTCTCAGAAACACGTGTAAGTCGTACGCCTGGTCAAGTTCTGTTTTGTGATCTTCCCACGTCGCGTACAAACCTTCCCGTTCTGTTACGAGAAGCTCCAGCTTCTCGGCGATCTGAAAGGAAAATACAGTCATGAGAAAGAAAAAGAAACGTTGACTAAAAAAGACAAACAAACAAAAAAGGTGCGAATAAGCAGAACAAAAGCAAAAGCTCGCAAGGTGCTCCTACAGACGACCAATCTTTAGTGATTACAGAGTACAGGGAGAAAAGTTTGAATCTTGAACAATACCTTTCCTTCAAAGAAAAAAAGAGTAAATAAATAAAATAATAAAGAAAAAATACACAAGCAAAAACCGTTAAAATATATTGTCATCCGTTCATATGCACTTCTGTAAATCAACTCAATGTTGCAGCTTATTTCACAGTCCAATAAAACATCCAAATTCCGAGACGATACTACGAAAGCCATTTTCTAACAGCGACGTACAATAGCCAGAAGAACTCTAGGGACATATAGAGATAAGAGAACACTGAACTATGGACCAAATGCTTGTATAATATTTCATCTTCTAAACAAAACTTATCTTCCCAACGCTGTCATGGAGTTGGTCCATAACAATGGTAGAAAAGGGACCGATTAAAGAAATGAACGGCACGCAATGTATGCAGAAGTGATCCATGGATCCATGCAATAAAATAAAAATTATTTTAAGGCACCAAAACTTTCTTGACTTCTAATTACCGGCCAGTTAGCCATATTTGCTGCATTGAAGACCCATTCACCACTTTTAACTCACAGTTCGTCTGTATTATACAGCTTCGATTAAAACGAACTTTGCCAAGCATCCGAGAAAACAAAACAATGATGGCGGAACGAAAAATCACCCTAGTTCCCAGTGCTCTTTGGCTCGAAGGGATAAATCGCGCTGGACAATCGGGCAACAGCATAAACAGCGATGACGAATGACGTCATTGCTTAAAAAAAAAGAAAAGAAACCCACTGACCTCATCAGCTGCAAAGTGTCCGCTGTCAATCATTCTCTCTCCAGTCTCCATGACCTTGTTAAATCCTTCTTCGCGCGCGTCCATCTCTGAGCGATACTCATCAATCCGTCCCAGCAGCACCTCGGCGTCTCCTACATCATGCACAGGCTCACCAGACGAGATAGTGCGGCTCATGTCGATACACCATGACACCAGGTCCCGGATCTAATGACGTCACAAATAGCACAAATTATGAGGGTAAATGGATAAAGGCCAATCACCATTCCCCATTTTGTCTTCCCACGGAGGGATAGTTAGAAATCATTGCACGAAGTTCAAAAAGTAAATTAGACAATGCCTCATGATTCGACCAGATAGCTTATTTTCACAGCTTTTGATTCGAAGTGGAAAGTGCACAATGCCCTTGTTATCAGGTCACAATTCGTATCCCATTTCTTTTGGTGCGTAATACAGTCTGTAAACACTCTAAAAGGGTTACTGTTATTAAAGGAGCTTAGTCACGGTATTTTGAGTTATTTTGGCCACATACAAAATTACCTTTAAATGGTAGGAAACCTGAAAATAACAGTTTAATAAGATAG